GATTTCTTATTATCTTATTATCGCAGGCTTTGTATATACTATGTGTGTGAAGGCCGTCGACGCTCCAATCGTCTCTTCGCCGCCGTTCGTGCAGCATTTTCGCGACTCGTAGAATGCGTTACACGGAAGAAAAACTCGGCTGCACCAATAGAATCCGTCAGCAGCGCCATCATTGGAGTAAATTTCCTTTTTTTTCATTTCCAAATTTAAAATTAAATTAAAATATCTTTTAATTTAATTTTAAATTCTCTCTTAATTATATATTTTATATATATCTGTTAATTTTCTTTTAATTTTAAAGTTATCTCTAATTATAAATATTTTATTTTTAATTTTAACTTTTTCTTAATCTTCTCTCCATCCAATAGTGATATCATTAGAATTGATACGTCATACATTTTGTTAATAGTTCGAGTATTAATTGCAATAATATTGCTATCGAATCAAATTGCGGACCGATTCTACCGATGCAATAGCATTTCTTTTCCATGTACATATTGGTATTTTGCGAACAAAGCTACATCTTTTCCGTTTGCAGTCGAGTATATCCCGACGATACTCTCGTGTTACAAAGTCCACTACACGATCGAAAACGAAACCGATTCCACCACCGTCTCAAATTTGAAGAAAAATTCGTTCGGTCGCTCCTTCGTTCGTTCGTTCGTTCGTTCGTTCGTTCGTTCGTTCGCTCGCTCGCTCGCTCGTTCGTTCATTCGTTCGCTCGCTCGCTCGCTCGCTCGTTCGTTTGTTCGTTCGTTCGCATTCTCGTTTGGCAAGACAGTGAATTCAATGTTCAGTTCATTAACTGCAAAGATCCAATCGAACAGAACCGCGCTTGTTCTCTTTCTCTCGACCTGAGCGACACGTAAGCGAACCCAAATACAGTGTGACAAATTAATGCATGACTCGCTGAGACGACGAGAGTCCGAGGTGGCGGCTCCTTGGAAGAGAACCTCCCACCTCGGACTCGAGGGCAGAGCGAACTGGGATTTGTGTATGTGCAAGGGAGAAAGAAATTCTGTGCTATTCTCGTACATGTTCATTAAGCAAATATATTGAGATGTATGTAAAACATTCGATATAATACAGTTATTTCGAAATAAACATAATAATGTGTGGAAAATGTCATATAAGATGCGTCGTCGATATTACAATCGAGAGGGAGGGTAATAAGGATTCAAATTAAAAAAAAAAAAGGGGAAAAAAGAATAATGTGTATAAGGAGGAGAGAGAACGTGGAAGGGGGGTGATAGAAGAGAAGAAGAAATTAATAGACGATCGAGTGTGAAATCAGGAGAATCGCAAGTCGCGACACAGACACTTGAGTCCTACGAAGAAAAGTGCCCATCGATCAATTAAAAAGATCAATATGCCGCCGATAAACACTCGACGAATTATAAAACTGGAAGAGTGTCGTGTCTTGAACTAACTTAATAATTCAGCCTACAACGCGACGAATAGGCTCTATAAACGCAAAATATATCTCGTTTTTACGGATTAATAGCAATAACCTCGGTTTTCTTTTTCATGCCGCTCGTGTTTCGTCTTCGCCCCCGCCCTCTTCTTTCATTCTTTTGTCCATTTTTCGTCTTTCCATCTTCCTTCCTTCCTTCCTTTCTATTCTTACGATGCTACGAATACGAGAAGGGAAGAACTTGTCGAGGGTGCGCTGTACGCGCGCGCACACAGACATACATACACACACACACGCACGCACACACACACACACTCGATATTTGTCTAGGAGTGAAACGAAATGGAAGGTGGGGGGGGAAAAAAAAAAAACAGAAAATGAAACGCGTTCTCCGCGTTGATCAGAATAGAAGTAAATAAAAATTACGGTCGATCGCGTTTTTCCACGGGAAAAGGTCGCACTTCCGAGCACAGCGTCAGTCTTCCGGTTGCTTCCCTCGCTCGCTCTTTCTACAATGATCTCGCTTGTATCTCTTCACTCCGCTTCACACGTACATACTTCGAGTTGATCGAAACCACGAGAGATTCGAACGTTCCTCTCTTTCCTTTTGCTCGATATCAAGGCTCTGCACGGCCGACCAAAGAGAAGAGAAATTAAGGAACGGAGTAACAGACGAATCTTCTTTTTTTTTTTTTACCAACCCGATGTGTGTAGTTTTGCGCGCAGCGGGTGTACAGACCGGCAGCATAATGGCCTCGATAAGAGCCTCCTCGTGCGCATCAAGTCACACCGTCTCAGAAGTTCCCGTGAGAAATTACACGCGGAGAGTGTTGCGCCCTGGAAGGGTACGCAGTCGGTGGATAAAAGGTCGCGCGACGCTTTTATCAAGTCACCGTACCAACTAGCGGATCAGAAAGGGATCGCACGCTTTTGTCCACTGACTGCACAACTTTGTCAAGGCGATTATGCCGATCTGTGTACACGAGTCTCTTTTCGCCGAGACACATTGGTTGTATTAAAATCCAACTTTCAACGAGAGAGAGAGAGAGAGAGAGAGAAAAAAAG